CTACCTGATGTGGCTCTATGCGGACCGGGACACCCCCAGTCGAGGTAAGCTCAGGCTGGGCTCCAGGTGGGGAGAGATGGGGAGTCTGCCTCAGGCATTCTACCACTCGGATCTACCTGCAGGGGGAAGACAGAGAGAACACACACGGAACTGGCTGATCTGGAAACATCAAAGGGATTATTTCCCTATCAAGGTGATGAGTCACCTCCCTAGAAACACGTCCAACCCTCTCCCTTCCAAGGCCTTGCTGTTGTACCTGTTCACCCTTCCCTGTCCTGCAGCCTGAGCCCTGCTGCACAAGGACACAGAGGGGCAGAGGGTGGAGGGGTGGACCACGAGCGCATCCCAGGTCCCTAAGCTCTGAGGTCTGCAGGGGCACAGGGCAGCACCTCCAGCGGTAACCTGTCCTCTATGCCTCCCTCCTCTCCTTCTGCTCAACCGTGTCAAGCTGGTGAAGACGGCAGAGCTGCCCCCCAACCAGAACTACGTGCTGGGAGCCCATCCCCATGGGATCATGACCACAGCACCCTTCTGTAACTTTCTCACTGAATGCAACAACTTCTCCCGGAGCTTCCCCGGGCTGCAGCCCTGGCTAGCCACACTGGCTGGGATGTTTTATATCCCTGTGTTCCGGGACTACATCATGCTTATTGGTGAGCCTCACTGAATGGGGGGGACAGTGAGTGGGAAGTTACCCCTGGGGGGAGTTTTCCTTTGACCTCCCTTGCCGAGAGCCTGCTTCCCAATCCAGAACAAAGGATCTTCGTGAGCATAGGGGCTTGGTCCCTAGTCTATTCAGAGGAGTAGGGGGAAAACGGTTCAGTACCAGAGGTGGGCATCACCCCTCATCATGCTGAAAGGTGGGGTGAAGGAATAGGGAGACACACTGTGTGGTGAGAGCTCCTCTACTGCTCTGACACAGGACTGCTTCCTGTGAGTCGTCACAGCCTGGACTTTGTCCTGTCTCAGCACCAGCTGGGCCAGGCAGTTGTCATCACCATTGGCGGTGCCCATGAAAGCCTGTACACGGCCCCAGGACAACACTGCTTACAACTCCTGAATCGCAAAGGGTTCATTCATCTGGCACTGAGACATGGGTGAGTGCACCTGCAGGTAAAGATGTTGGGTTGTCTTCTCCATGTTCACTCATCCAAGTGCAACAGGTGGATTTGGTTTCCTAGAGATCCTTATCGGACAACCTTGATGCTCCTGTCTATGCCCTTGCTGTGCCGTCTGAGCTGAGGACATTCAGACAGTTGCCAGCAGGGCTGTTAATTCCAGAACAATTTGCTTTCTGTTGGATCCTGTGTCCCAGGCTTGCCCTGGGACTTGTTATTTCCAAGGCTACAGGTGCAAACACTGAATGAGAAGGTGCAAGGGGGCCCAATGTCGTGGCCTAGTGGCTAAAGTCCTTGCCTTAAACGCACCGCGATCCCTTGTGGCCTGGGAAAATAAGCGAGCATGGTCCAATGCCTTGGGACCCTGCACCCACATGTGGGAGACCCGGAGGGGTTCCTGGCCTCTGGCTTCGGACTGGCGCAACTCCGGCTGTTGCCGTTCACTTGGGGAGTGAATCATCAGACGGAAGATCTTCCTCTCTCTCCTCATCTCTGTACATTTGACTTTGCAATAAAAATAAATCTTAAAAAAAGAAAAAGAGAAGGTGCAGAGGGAAAGCCCACTACACAGGCCTTTCTCAACACAGTTGAGGTGTCCTTTTAAAATGTTCTCTGCAGACATAGAGCTTCCAAAGGACAAAGAACTGACATCAGTTCAACTGGGGAGCAAGTGAAACCCTAATGAATTTAAATGGGCATACATTCAGAATCTGACCAGCAATATTCCCTTTGCAGGGCCTCCCTGGTGCCCACATACTCCTTTGGAGAGAATGATATTTTTGAAACTAAGACTTTTCCTGAAGGCTCCTGGCTGAACCTCTGCCAGGTCATCTTCAAGAAGATCACTGGCATTTCTCCCTGCATCTTCTGGGGCCGGAGTTTCTTCTTGCCCAACTCCTGGGGTCTGCTGCCACATCCCAGGCCCATCACCACTGTGGGTGAGTGCCCACCTGCACTGGAGGGAGCAGCTATGGGAGGTTCAGACAGTGGCAATCTTGCACTCACCTGTATCTTCCTCCCTTGCAGTGGGCACCCCCATCCATGTGCCCCAGCTAGGCGCACCCACTGAAGAACAAGTTAACCACTATCACAGGCTCTACATGGAGGCCCTGGAGCGACTGTTTGAGGAGCACAAGGAAAGTTGTGGTGTTCCCACTTCCACCCACCTTACCTTCTGTTAGGCCTGGGCTCACCTACCTTTGGAGTTCTGAGACCCCATCTCCTACCCTCCTCTGCTCTCCAATAAAGGTTGTGGTGGAAGTGAGCATGGTCTGACATGGTGCCCATCCAAACCTGTCAATTGTGCTGTGGAGTAGTCACCAGAAATTGGGGCTCAGGACTGTGATTCTCTGCCACAGGACCTGGGACAAAGGGGAGATGACTCTGCCACAGGACCTGGGACAAGTTTTCCTCTCCCTGGATGAGCAAAGGCACCTGCTTACCTATAAAATCCCACTTCTCTCTCCTGTTCAAAACGTGAGCCAATTACTGCCCTTACCATTTCTGTCCTGTTAGGGCTTGGCACTGTTGGTGCCTGTACTGGCATCTCCTGTCTTGTACTTTCCTAGAATCGGTATGCCGAGCTACGTATCACCATTGATGAAGTTATACAACGTTTACAACAAGGCATTGACGATTTAACCGATTCTCTCTCCTCCCTAGCTGAGGTAGTATTACAAAATCGCCGCGGCTTAGACTTGTTGTTTTTGCAACAGGGAGGCCTATACGCCACCCTTAAAGAGGAGTGTTGTTTTTACGTAGATAAAACAGGTGTCGTAAAGGAGAGCATGAAAAAGATCCGTGAAGGCCTTGAAAAACAAAAAAAAAAAAAAAGGAGAGAGAAAAAGAGGAAAGTTGGTATAAAAATTGGTTCTCCTCATCTCCCTGGCTCACTACTGTGCTACCCACCATATTAGGACCTCTAGTTGGCCTATTGCTCTTAATCTCTTTTGGTCCCTGGGCATTCACTAAACTCATTAATTTAATAAAACAACAAATTGAAAATTTAGCTTCCAAGCCCATCCAAGTGCGTTACCACCGCTTAACTCTAGAAGATAAATTGTGTTCAGAGAGTCCTGACACCTCAAGAAATGAACCCCCATGTTGTAATGTGCGGCTCCAGTTTTCCGATCAGTTTTCCTAAGGTAATGTGGCAGTTTAAGGTTGGGGCGGGTGTTTCCCAACAGGGCTGTCATTTATGGCAGCGTTGCCGGGGAATATGTGTTCCAGCTACGAATTGTTATACGGCCCTTTTCTAGTAAGCGTTTAGCCAATGACAGGCACCTTTCTGATACCCCAACAACCGAAGACAGGGAACCCTGGATGACTGGCAGGGTTACCCAAAGATGGGTAAGTGTTGGGAGCCCTTCAGGATGAACCTAAGACAGGCAGCACTTATCTTGCCTCGACGAACCTTTTTCTTTTCGCCACTTTCTTTGATATATAGAGAAAAGGGGGAGATGTCAGGAGCCGTGCACTATAGCCACACTGAAGCCATTTTAAATATAGAACTATAGGCCAGTAAAAAACCCCCGGTTGGCTAGATGCTTGGGAAGGAGGTTATGAAACTGATCACACGCCTAGTTTCAATAATTTCCAGCAGCTGTTTCAGAATGTGATTTATGCTGTACTTGCTAACATCTTGTTACCGACATTGTTGCTGTGCTTGATGATATGGTGGTTGTTCAAGAACAATCGGTCTTGAGACCATGGCTTGCATCCCAGTTTCGCCTTCCCTCCCCAAGCCTTAGTTACTGAAAATAGGAAAAGCCTCAATTGAAAATAATAAAGTGTCAGCTTGATCAGACATCCTGTCTTGCTGTCCATTCTTCGTGTCTCTTGTCCCTCATTCTCTCCTAGGTTGGCTGCGATCCCCGTTGACTGTTCTGCTGGACGGGGCAACAGAGAGAGGATGTGGAAACCTCTCTCTCTTTCATGTCCTGAGCCCAACTCTGTCCTAAGCACCTTCACGCCTGCACTCATGCAATGTCCAGAACAGCCTGGGAAGTTGAGCTGAGTGCTGGGCTTCCAGAAGCAAGGAATGCTGGGAAAAGTCAGCGCTGGAGTCATCTGATCCATCAACTCCAGAAATTCACACAAGATGGACAGGTGCAGGAGCAAGCATGTGCACAGCTGTGTGTGCCCTGGGCCTGGGTTCTCTCCTCCCTGCCTCCTGCTGGGCCCTTGACTAGGCTCAGCTCCTGCCTCAGGGATCCCCATCACCCTCACTGTTCCTCCTCCATCCTGATTACCTCTCTTTACTTTAAAAATAGTAATCTATTTTTTATTTGAAAGGCAGGTTTACAGAGAGAAAGGGAAAGATAGAATCTTTCATCTGCGGATGAACTCCCCAAATGGTTGTTACAGCCAGGGCTAATCTTTCCAAAGCCAAGAGCTTCTTAAGTCTCCTAAGAGGTTCCATGATCCTAAATCATTGGGCTTTTCCAAAGCACAAATAGGAAGCATGTGGAACAGCAGGGATGTGACCCGAAGTCCACATGGGATTCTGATGCTTATAGGTTGGGGATAACATGTTGAACCATCACACCAGTACCAAAGCTACTCAACTTGCAAAGCCCACCGCTCACAGCTTCCTTGCCCACTTCGTGCTGACTGTGGAGGACACCTGGTTAAGCAGATGACTTTTTTCACACAGGGAGAGAGAGACTTGTCCCAGGTCCTGCGGCACAGTCTTCTCTCCCCAGTGGGAGAATCAGGGTCCTGAGCCCCAATTCTAGATGACAACTCTGCAGCATGACAGGACAGGATTGGACAGGAGGGTTGGGTGTGACTCTGTGCCTGACTGTGCTCACGTCCACCGCAATCTTTATTGGAAAGAGCAGGGCAGGAGATGGGAGGGTGGGGTGAGGCTCAGTCATCAGTTCAGGTGTTACAGAAATTGACCACCAGAGACTCGCTAGCCACTTGTGGAAAGGAAGTAGCTTTTATTAACTCCAGAGGACAGGAGCTTGGCCACTGGCTGGGCATTGATCTTCCCTTAGTCTCCATCTTACAGAGCAATGGTGTAAGAGGCAAACACTCAGCAGTGAAGTTTGACAATATAAATCCCAGGAATGTCCTGAACTGTTAACAACCAGCAGGCTTTGTGCCCTTTCTTCTCAGCATTCTTATGTTTTCCTGACATTGATGTCCCCATGAAAATTAGTTTCATGCAATGGCACCACCATGTCCTGCATGTGAATTTTATTTTTGCCCATATGCCATTGGTTTCCATGTCATAGGCCTAGCGGAAGGTGAGGTGGCTGGAGGCTGAAATGCCACAGCTTTCCTTGTGCTCCTCAAACAGTCGCTCCAGGGCCTCCATGTAGAGTCTGTGGTAGTGGTCAACCTGCTCCTCAGTGGGTGTGCTGAGCTGGGGCACGGGGATGGGGGCGCCCACTGCAAGGGAGAAAGACACAGGTGAGTCAGAGGCTGACATGCTGTTTATATCACCCATGGCTGCTCCCTCCAATGCAGGTGGGCACTCACCCACAGTGGTGATGGGCCTGGGATGTGGCAGCAGACCCCAGGAGTTGGGCAAGAAGAAACTCCGGCCCCAGAAGATGCAGGGAGAAAAACCGATAATCCTCTTGTGGACCACCTGGCAGAGGTTCAGCCAGGAGCCTTCAGGAAAAGTCTTAGTTTCAAAAATATCATTCTCTCCAAAGGAGTATGTGGGCACCAGAGAAGCTCTGCAGAGAGAAGGGTCACAGTCGTGTCTGTCCTCTCAATAGGCATGTCAGGAGTTGCATGAGCTCCCCAGCTCCTCTGACGCCGCTACCCAGGCCTTAGAAAACTCATGACTATGTAAGTATAGAGACTTCAGGAAGGACGCCTGGCCTGTGTTGAGTCATGCCTGTGAGGTAGGCTTTCCACACGCATCTTCTCATTCAGCGTTTGCCCCTACAGCCTTGGGGCAAGGTAGGCCCAATCTTGGGTCATGAAAGATCAAATCTATGACTTTGTCTGTGAAAACAGGGTCAGAGAACCCTGGGCGTCTGCACCAGTAGGCATTATTCTTATTAATGGCCCTGCCATGGTTAAGGGACTCAGAGTCTGGGAAGTCAGCAGCTCATGGACAGGGAATACAGTTGGACTGGCAAGAAGCATCAGGTACTGGGTACAGGAATCAGCTTTGGGAACCGACAATGCCACCTGCAGGCACTTGGTGGAGTGTACATGGAGAGGACAGCCCAACATCCATACCTGCATGTCCACTCACCCGTGTCTCAGTGCCAGGCGTACAAAGCCTTTGCGATTCAGGAGTTTGAGGCAGTGCTGCCCAGGGGAGGTAGACAAAAGTTCCTGGCCTCCCCCGATGACGATGACCACTGCTTGACCCAGCTGAGGTTGCGACAGGACAAAGTCCAGGCTGTGACGGCTCACAGGTCGCAGTCCTGTGCCATGTGAGGGGAGGAGTGATCAACACTACTTCTATCTCTGCTACCTATGAATTAGCACAAATAATGGCAGTCCTACATTTTGTGCTTTTCAAATAATTCCTCCCCCCATATAAGTCCAGTCCTGATTATGCCATGTTCAGGTCTGCTCTGTCCCTGGATGGGAGCAAAAGCTAGTTGTGGGGATGGGGCCAGGGGCTGCTTCCCCCCATTTCTTGTGAGACCCACCAGCAGCTAGGAGGTAGTCACGGAAGACTGGAAGGTAGAAGAATTCAACGAGCGTGGTTATCCAGGGCTGGAGCCCTGGGAAGTGGCGGGAGAAATCATTGCACTCTGATATGAAATTACAGACCATTCCCATGCACATGATCCCGTGGGGGTGGGATCCCAGCACGTAGTTCTGGTTGGGTGGCAGCTCTGCCGTCTTCACCAGCTTGACATGGTTAGGCAGGAGGAGAGAGGCACAGAGGACAGGTTACCGCTGGAGGTGCTGCCCTCTGCCCAGCAGACCTCAGAGGTTGGGGTCCTTGGATGGGCTCAGGATTCACCCCTCCACCCCCTGCCCCTCTGTGACCTCGGGCAGCAGGGTTCAAGCTGCAGGACAGGGAAGGGTGAGTAAGTGCAGGGGAGGGAGGGGGAAGGTGAAATAGCCATCTCTGGATTGGTAACCATCACCTTGATAGGAAAATAATCCCTTTGGTGTTTCCATATCGACCACTTCTTTAGCCACTTCCACCGCCTTCCCCCTACGGGCAGAGTTTAAGGTGGCATAGTCTCCTAAGCAGCCTCCCATCTCTCCCCACCTGCAGGTCTGCCTGAGCTCACCTTGGCTGGGGGTGTCCCGGTCCAGGTAGAGCCACATCAGATAGAGAACAGTGAGAGGCCAGAGCTGTGTGAAGAGGAAGAGGAAGAGAAGAACGCAAGAGAAAGGGCCTGGGGAAAGGTCAGAAGGAAGCATTAATTCCTCCAGGGACCCAGGCCTTCAGCCAAGCCACTCCCCTCCTTCACCTGCAAGAAACCTCTGGAAGTGGCATCTCTTCAGTCCTGTCACCCTCCCTTATCTAATATCTGGCCAGCAGCCCAGCTGTCTTGTTGTAGTCCCTTCCCATGGAGCAACCCTCCTCTCCCCTCCTCTCACCTAGAATTATTACAGCCAACACATAGTGGAGGGTGCCCAGTGCTTCCAGCCATTGCTTCTGCCTGGTCTTGGTGGGACAGGAGGGCAGGGGTGATGTGGGGCCGTCCATCTCACCAGCTCTCTCAACCTGCAGGGTCAGGCAAGGTCGTAGGTGTTCCCTCTGCCAGTTTACAGTGTATGGCTGGAGAGCTGGCTGTGTCTGGAGCCCGAGTCCTCAGGTGCTTCTGCAACAGATCTTGAACTGATCCTGGGTCTGTCACTCTGGGCTGGCTCCTGGGAGGAGCTGTGCCAGGGTTGGTGTGTGCAGGGGAGGGGCAGCCCCTGGGTGCCCAAGCTATTAGCAAGGACTGGAAACCATGGCAGCTGGACAGCCTGCCATGGTTTCCCAGTCTATGTCAGTTACTAAGACACTATCCCAATGTCTCTCTAGGAATTTCATGGCTCCTTGCTGGCTCTGGTGTTCCCACCCTGCACAGACACACAAATCATTGCCCCAGGATGGCAGTCCTTCTGCAGGTGCACAGGAGTCCTTGTTATACCCTGGTCTGTGTCCACCACAAGAGTGGCAGTGAGAGCAATCAGTGTGGGTGCGATTTTCCATGTAGAGGTTGGGAGGTCTCAAGGGGGTGAGATGGACACAACCTGCTCTAAATGGGGGCCCCCAGCCTTTCTTGGATTAAGAGGAATGGCCTGAGCTTCCAGACACTTTCGCTGGGCATAGGTGAGCAGCAAGAGGCCCAGGAGGCTTTGGAACAGTGGCAGCCATACAGGGCTTTCTGTACTCTTCAGCTCACCTTGGGTACCAGCATGTTCCATTACAACTGGAAGGTGCCAGGGAGGCCCTTCCAGGGGGAGCAGGGTTAAATCTGAGCCCTCACTGCTCCTCACAGCCACTCCCCCAGTGAGATTCTAAAGAGTTCCCTTCTGACTGTGAAGTTGCAAAACACGGGGCTCTGGGTTTAAGCTGCCAATAGGTCCAAGGGGACAGTCCATGACCAGGAAGTCATGGACTGCTTGGGATATTGTCAGAGCAGCTTAGGGGCCATTAGGCCTGGGCTGGAGACCACAGCCAAGAGGATACAGGAGGGTGGACCATGGACCAGGGGTTCCTCCAGCTATGGGCCCATGGGAGGACAGGGAGGGTGTCATCCTGAAGCCCAGGGAGATGGATCCAGCAGGACAGTCAGGGCCGACAGTGGGGGGCAAGAATTGCACAGCAAGAGACCAGAGAAGTTCAAGGCCTCTGTGCAGAGTCCCTGGACTCTAAGGCTCCAGGTGGAGGAAACCCAATCGCAGGTCCCTGACTGACTCAACTGGGCCAATCCCTCCCTCGGTGGGGAGCAGAGGGTGCATGCCCCAGCCATCCCTAAGAGAGTCTTGGAAAGGGTGTTTCAACCCTCCTCTAAAGCCTCACACACACAGCACCACATCTGCAATACCCAAAATGGAGACGGTCACAGAAATGTCCCCTGTATTACTGCCTTGGTCACTCAATCCCCAGACAAGCAGTATCAGCTGCTGAGTGCACCTTGAAAAGGTGTGGCTTGGGGAAGAGGTGCTGGCTTCAACTGGGGGTGGGGGCTGCTTAAAGGGACATGCTGCCCATTCCAGGGATTTCTGTGATCCTGGTGGATAGAGTTGCCATCTGTCACTCTGCATGAATTACACCCACAGCTTGAGCTGACAGAGGTGCCAGGCCCTTGACCTGCAGCACCATGAGCTATATCAACCTCCTTCCTTCACTAATTGTTGAGGTCAGGAGTCAGAACCAAAGCACTCTCAGGGGCTGGAGTGGTAGTGCAGGAGACTAATCCTACACTTACAGCATAAGCATTCCCTATGGGTGCTGGTTCAAGCCCTGGCTGCTTCACTTCTGGCACAGTTTCCTGCTAATGCTCTAGAAATGCAGCAGAAGACCTAAGAGTTTGAGCCTTGCACCTAAGACCCAAAAGGTCAGCCTAGCTCTGGCTGCTGCAGCCATTAGGGGAGAAAAGCAGCAGAGTAAAGGTCTCTGTCTTTCTATATATGTATATATGTATATAATGCATATATACATATATATGTATATTTATACACACACACAAAATCTGATACCATGAGTGTCTCCCTCCCATCCTTAGTGCCACCCTATACTGAGGACCACAGTGTCAGATGTGGTAGCCTCTCCCTGGCTTATGCCCTGAGCCCATCCCTGTCATAAGCACCTTTGGACTGCATTCATGGAATGTCCAGAGCAGCCTGGGAGGTTGAGCTGAGTGCTGGGCTGCCCTGCCCCCATCTGGTCTGCCAGCACCAAAAACTCACAGAAGATGGATGGGTGCAGGAGCAAGCACTGTGCTGTGCTCTCTATGCCCTGGGTCTAGGCTCCTCCCCTCCCTACCTCCTACTGGGCACTGACCAGGCTCAGCTCCTGCTGCAGGGGTCCGCAAGACTCACCCTGCTCCTCCTCCATCCTACTCACCTTTTCAAGGCCTGCCACTCATCACCTCCCACCCTGCTACATCCTGACCCCAAAGGGCACCTGGCTAAGCAGCTTCTTTATGCACAGCAGGAGAGGGAGAGATTGTCCCAGGTCTTGCGGCACAGTCCTCTCCTGGAGGGGGAAAATCGGGACCTGAGCACAAATCCCAGGGGACAACTCTGCAGCCAACAGGATAAGACAAAGGGGCTTGGTGGGGTACTGTGCCTGGACATGTCACTTTCATCACAGCCTTTATTGGAGAACAGAGTAGGGAAAGAGCTGGTAGGCTCCTTGGAATGTTGAGGGCAGGCCTAGCAGTAGGTGAGGTGGGTGGAGGCTGAAATGCCACAGCTTTCCTTGTGCTCCTCAAACAGTCGCTCCAGGGCCTCCAGGTAGAGCCTGTGGTAGTGGTCAACCTGCTCCTCAGTGGGTGTGCTGAGCTGGGGCACATGGATGGGGGCGCCCACTGCAAGGGAGGGAGATACAGGTGAGTGCAAGATTGCCACTGTCTGAACCTCCCATGGCTGCTCCCTCCAGTGCAGGTGGGCACTCACCGACGGTGGTGATGGGTCTGGGAAGGGGCAGCAGACCCCAGGAGTTGGGCAAGAAGAGACTCCGGCCCCAGAAGATGCAGGGAGCGATTCTAGTGAGCTTCTTGCAGATGATCTGTATCTGGTACTGCCAGGAGCCCTTAGCGAAAGTCAGGCATTTGAAAATATCATTCTCCCCAAAGGAGTACACAGGCACCAGGGATGCCCTGCAGAGACAAATGCCATAGTCAGGTCCTGGACTGACCCCCATAATGGGCTCTGGAGTTGTGGGCACTGCACATCCCTCCCCAGGTCAACTGATGCCACTTCCCAGCTCAACTGATGCCACTTCTATGTCTGCATAGAATGTTCTGGAAGGAGGTCTTACTTGTGTTGAGAAAGACCTGTGCAGTGGCCTCTCCACAGGTGCCTTCACACTCAGTGTTTGCACTTGCAGCCTTGGGGCAAGGCAGGCCCAGCCTTGTGGAAAGTGAAAGGTCAGGCCCCAGAGCTGCCTCTATGTGGGCTTGAGAAGAGAACCCAGGACTGCTAGGACAGGGGACTTCCTTGCGTCAGTTTGGGCCCCACCTTTCTACAGGGAGGGACTGACAGGTACACCCAGGTGCAGGGATCGTGCTTGTCTACAGAAACCTGGACAGCCAGAGCAGGGGGCGGGGAACGACCCAGCCTGGGGAGCTGTGCCCCACTCACCCATGACTCAGTGCTAGGCGAACGAAGCCTTTGCGATTCTCTAGCTTCAGACAGTTTTGCCCTGGGGCTGCGTACATGGCCTCATGGGCACCCCCAGGCACGATGGCTACTGCCAGGCCCAGTTGGGGCTGAGACAGGATGAAGTCCAGGCTGGGACGGCTCACGGGTCGCAGTCCTGTGTCATGAGCAGTTGTTGGGGAGGGCAGTTACCACTCCCTGGTAGGCTCCCTATATCCTCCCCTCACCCTTTAGCGGGGGGAAGCAAAGTCCAAGTCTGCATTGCACATCTCCTGCCCGTTGTAGAGCCGGTCCAGTGTTCAGGTCAGGTCCCTGTGTTCTCTCAGTAAGGATGGGGAGGTATTACTGTATGAGAACACTGGGCCGGGGACTGCTTCCTTCCATTCAAGCATGAGGTTTACCTTGACTCATGACGTATTCCCGGAACCCAGGAACATAGAAGAATAAAGACATCATGGCTATCCAGAGCTTAATCCCCGGGAAGTGCTGGGAGAAGTTGTTGCTCTCAGAGACAAAATTACATAGGAGCCCATAGCTCATGATTCCATGAGGGTGGGTCACTAGCAGGTACTTCTTGTCAGGGGGCAGCTCTGCCGTCTTCACCAGCTTGACAGGGATGAGCAAGAGGAGAAGAGGAAGCATAGAGGACAAGACACAGCTGGAGGTGCTGCCCTGTGCCCCTACACACCTCAGAGCTCAGAGTCCTGGAATGGGCTCATGGTCCTCCCCTCCACCCCCCGCCCCTCTGTATCCTTGGGCAGCAGGGCTCAGGCTGCAGGACAGGGAAGGATGAGCAGCTGAAGGGAAGGGAGGAGAGGGCCGTAGGGGGAGGAGGTGACTCTGGGAAGGGTAACCCATCACCTTAATAGGGAAATAATCTCTTTGATGTTTCCACATCGACCAGCTCCTTAGACAGTCCAACCGCCTTCCCCCTGTGAACAGAGATCCGGGTGGCAGAATACCCGAGACAACCTCCCTGTCTCTCCACCTGGAGCCCTGCCTGAGCTCACCTTGGCTGGGGGTGTTCCGGTCCAGGTAGAGCCACGTCAGGTAGAGAACTGACAGAAACCAGAGCCGTGTGAAGAAGAGGGAGATGAGAAGGAAGATGGAGCAAGGGGCTGGGGAAAGTGAGAAAGAAAAATGAGTGTCTTGGGGTCCCAGTTCTTGGACCTATTCGCCTCCCTCTCCACCTTCACAGGACCCCTGGCAGCGGCATGTCCTATTCCCAGGAGCACAGCCAGGCTGCCTCTCACCTGAGCACAGCAAGAGCACATGATGGAAGGCACTCAGGTCTTCCAGCCACTGCTTCAGCAGGGTTTTCCTGGGGTGGGAGGCTGGAGGTCCCACAGAATCATCCATCCCAGCAGCTCCCTCTACCATCAGGGCAGCAGGTGGTATCACAGGTGCCCCTTGCTAGTGGTAGGTGGGGAGCTGCCTGGCTGGAACCCCAGAGTCTCCAAGTGACTCTGAGACAGATCTTGAACTGTTCCTGGGTCTGTCAGTGTGGGCTGGTCCCTGGGAGGAGCTGGCCCAGGGGAGGGGAGTGCAGAGGGAGGGGCAGCGCCTGGGTGCCCTGGGACTATGCAGGGAGGTTGACAGAGGCTGCTTAGCCCTCCCATGGGGCCCCAGGCGCTGTTGGGCCATTGCTGTTAGCCCTCAGAGATTGGGCTGTGGAGGAGCCTGTGTGTTGAGCTCTTTGCGGGTGTCTGGGAATGTTGGAGTTCCCTGGGCAGCCAATGCGGGCTATGGATACAGGCAGCCCCTCCCGCTGCGCAGGGCCTCTCGCTGCCACAACCTCTCCCAGCCTGCACCACTACACTCTGTGTGATTCAGTCCCAGAGGGGCCTTGTGAAGGGTGAGAGGGGCCTCTCCCAGCGGAGGACGTGGTGCTGGGCTGCAGAAACCTTGGGAGCTCCTCAGTGCTCCCATGGCTCTGTGGGTACCCAGGGTGCCCTCCTGGCTCTGCTGCCCAGCACCACAGCCTGCACTGGAGTGGAAGAGCCAAGCTCAAATGACCTGGGCTCCTTTGGTTGGCAGCAGTGACCAGGACAGAGTTCAGGGCTGGGATAGTTGCTGGAGGCAGTCACAGGCAACAGCTGGGGGAAGGGGAACTGAGGAAGAGGACCGGGTGGGAGCGGGGGAAAGGCCGTGTCCAGATACACAGCCCAGAGCCCTGAGCCAGCTGTACAGGTGGTGTGTGTGGTTCTGGGCCTGGGGCAGCTGAAGGGCAGCCCTGGCCTTGGCTTAGGAAAGGTGACCTGGGGAATACCAGCTGGGCATGGGAAGGAATGGGTAGAGGGCCCTTGCTGGAGGCATGGGGCCCAGGCATTTCACCTCTCCCCCATGCATCCCAAGGAGGAGGGAGAGGGTTCAGCCCTACACAGAATGTGATCTGAAGACACAGTGGAGTAAAGCCAGCTTGGCAATAGGAGCAGGTACAGCTGCAGACCAGGGTGGAGGCGCCAGGCTCCACTCATCAAGCTCTGAGGTACCAGGAAGGTGCTACTGGGGAGCAGGGGCTGCGTGCACCATTTGTGCTGGGAGAGGGGTCTCAGGTCTCCTTGAAAGCCTCACCCACCTGGCACAGTGTTCTCATCCTCATCAGGCCTGGGAATCAGTCACAGAAATGTTCTCAGGTCCCTCTCTAGGTCTCAGGAAGGGACAGGTAGTGGTGAGGAGCTCTAGGGCTCAGGGAAGAGGGAAGACTGTGCCCACTCATTTCATCTTTACTTCCCTAGAGCTCTTCCCAATTCTCCCATTGATGGGAAGAGCTCTAGGTTCCAAGGACCTCAAGCCCTGGGAAGGTGAGACAGGGCTCAGGGCAGGTCACAGGTGGGACTGGCCCTGTCCACCCATTGCACCCCTCAGGGTAGCCTGGAGCCTAGGGTTGGGCCTAGGAGCTTTAGCAGTAGGAAAAGAAGCAGAGATGAAACCCAGAGGTTGCCACACAGGGCCTCTGGGGTACCTCCTACAGGGCAAAGAAGGAGGAGGTGCCATGGGGCCCCCTAGTTAGGACACCTCATGACTCCAGGCCTGGTGGATGCCAACATAAATCCTGCTGGCAGCATCTCCCAAGGGCACCATAAACGGAAAGCTGTATATGAGGCTGCCAAGTCCTGAAAGGGAAACGCGAAACTCCAAGCTGAAACATTCTCTGTTCCCTAGAAGTTCTTGGGTAGCTTTAGTTTTGTTAGAGGATGTCAGTTCCACCTGCTGAGCTCTGGATGATGCTTCATCTGTTTTTAAGCAGCATCATTGAGCTGACTGCCACAAAACATCTTCTGGTGGCACCTGCAATGTCGCACAACATAGCGCCTGGACTGCAGAGCTGGGTCCAGCTCCGGCTCTAATTCCTGCTAATGACAACCAAGGCAGGCAGTGGTGCGGGTTCAAGTAACCAGGTCCCTGCCTAGCTCTGGCCCCAAGATGGTGGTTACAGACATTTAGTGGGAGAAAAGGAGGTGGAGAACAGCAAATGGGAGAGCTCTCTAACTGTGTCACTCTCTTTGTTAAGGTCTTTTAAAAAAATCTTTTGTTCTACACACATAGAAAGTATACATATTGGAAAAAGAAGTTATACATAATTAAGTCAGGTAGTGTTTATTTGTGTCAAAAAAAAAAAAGATGTGATATTTTTAGAAGTAGGGGGATCTGTGTAGGTGCTGTAGAGTAGCATTGAAGCCACTACCAGTAGCACCAGCATCCCTGATTGGATCCTGATTTGACCCAGCTGCTCTACTTCCCTTCCAGCTTTCTACTTATGAGCTGGGAAAGCAATGGAGGATAACCCAAATCCTTGGACTCCTATACCCATGCAGAAAACCTGGAAGAAGCTCCTGGCTCCTGGCTTCAGGGTGTTCTAACTCTGGCCATTGCAGCCACTTGGGGAGTGAACCATCTAATGGAAGATCTCGCTCTCTCCTTTTTCTCTCTCTCACCCACCCAACCACCCCATCAATCCACCTTGTCTGTAAGCAAGTAAATGAACAAATCTATAAAAACATAAAATAATGCTTATTCACAATGTCATCAGCACACTAAAAATAGTTGATAAATTATTGATATTTTCAATGATCAAAACAAGATAATTGTTAAAAGGTCTTCAAATACATTTTATTTTATCTGATGGGCACTGGGTTGAGGAGAACAAGAGAGAGATAGTTTCTACACATCTGTCACCTTCTCTCTGCTAGCGAACAGGGAGTGGTCACCAGGAGCCTGAGCTACGTATTGAGGCCAGGGTGTCTGATATGGAATGTGGGGGTCTCAGCTATGACGCTGCACACTCATCCCCTAGAAGGAGCTGGGAAGCAACGATTTTCTCACCTGTGTCCAACGAGTGGGAACTCTGTGATGGGTGCTGATGGCAGAAACCAGGTCCCAGCCAAAGCCACCTGTGCTCACACCCGGTTCCCCTGTTCTCTGGAGCAGCAATGGCCCGCATGCCCAGCAGCACACGGTGGGTGTGAGGCTGTGCCATCTCTACATGGAAGGGTGCAGCTGAATGTCCTGACCCTGAGCAAGGCTGTCTCTGTCTCATCCCTCACTGTTTCCAGGGGAAGCCACCCGACTTAACAAAGTTGTGCAGCCTGAACATGAGCAGGCATGAGGACACGTGTTCCCGGAAAGAAGGGCCTGACCTGCCCCTCACACACCGTTCTGTTTCCTGCCAGGGGATCCTGGCAGGATCTCCCAACCTTGTGTTTCTGCATGAAGCACTGCCCCTACACTCCCAGCCCTGCCCACTCCCTCCCTAACTGTGGCCAGTTTCCAGCTGGCTTCAAATCCCAGAATACTTCCCCATGGGAGCTTCTCTTGGCCTCAAGGTCAACTCTATGTACTCCACCACCAGGTCTTTCGGCTTGTCCACCAGGTCCCTAAGCCCACACAGGTGCCAGTCCCTGATCTGACCTCCTCCACCTTCCTACTTCCTGCCGTGGTCTACTCCTCTCACACCTGCCCACGTCCACAGCTTCCACAAAGACTGGCTCCCTCCTAGTCCTGCTCCTCTGTCCACTCACCTCCAAGATGAACTTGTCCAGCTGGGAGCCTGAATGGGCCTCAAGGTCAACTCTGCTCCCTCCTCCACCATGTTCTCCTGGCTTCTCTCTCCCTCCTGGGCTACCTGCCTTCTGAACTCCACCCCAACCTAAGGACAGGCCCAGCCCCACTCCCACACCCCACCCCTGTGGACACGGACCTCACACAGAGGCATGATGGGAAGGGAAGTCCCTTCCACACTTCCCCAATTCTCACCTGACCCCCTCCACTCCCAGGGAGAGAGGAAGACAGGCCTGGAGGGAATCTAACTCATCCCCAGCTGACAGCTTCTTCCTGAACTCTGCGCCTTGGGCAAGAACCCGGAGCTTAGGTACAAAGCAGAGAAGCTTTGGGGATAACTTGGGGAGGCGAGAGCCCTGCCTCCACATGGCAAGGCCACCTGGACAGGATCAGCAGCCATGCTGCAGGTTCAAGAACTCCAGCAGCCCAGCCTTTGGGGCAAGTACCCAGCAAGAATATGCAGTGTCTGCTCTGTGAGCAGCTTTGCTCCCACAGCAGGAACAACATGGGAAGGACTGGGAGCAAATCTAATCCCCAGGAGGCTCCAGGCCACAGACATCTGGGCTGTCCCCACCTTAGAAAGACAAGGAGACTCCCACAGAAGAGCCCAGCAGGTGTACAGGCAGAACCAAGTCTGGGCCTGACGCTGGCTGATGTGTGAGAGTCCTTCTTCCCAGCCCAGAGAACTTGGACTAACAGCTGCTCTGGCCCCACCCAGCTCCCTGTCTGTAGCAAGTCTGGGTAAAGCAGGCAAGACACCCAGGATTGGGTTGCTGTCACCCACCTGGTACCTGGGTTGAGTTCCCAGGTCATGGTGGTGGCAATGAAGCCTTCATGGGCCTTTGGGGGTGACCCAGAGGGTGGGAGCGCCCCGTATCTCTGTCTCAGTCTCAGTGCCTCTCAAACAGACAGCAAGGATATTTCCACAGAGAAAACCAAAGACTGCCATCAGGCCAAGCAGCTCTGAGCTGCCCAGTGACCTCCCAGGGACCAGATCCCAGGCTGGGATCCCAAGGGTAAGGAGTATGAGCTGGTGCAACTCTCCCATCCCGGTCACTTCTGCAGGAATGAACCCTAATGTCTCATTTTTATCCCACACTATCCCCATCGGGTTTGCCAACGGTCAGGGCAAGGACAGGGCAGGAGGAGGTCACCCTTGGTCGCCCTCCCCTAGCATCCCTACCCCAGGCCCAGGGGAAGCCCCTGCAGCCTCCATCACCAGTATGGGGGACTTCACATCCTCAGGCCAAGAAGGGGAAGGGACATGATTCCAAGGGCAACCTCTAGTGACCACAGTGCACTGCACCAGGTGTGACCCAGGAGCTGGCAGGGCCAGAGTCAGCTCCCGGGATGAGGGAGCATCCTGGCCTGGATACTGCACAGGGAGGCTCCAGGAGCACCCTGGGGTGTTCCCACTAGGTCTTCCTCCCCCAGTCCTGGAGCAGTTCTGCGCCAAGGAGCAAGGGGTGCCACCAGAGTCAGACAATGCTGAGCTGAGCTTCCCATATGGTTTGGAGTCCCTTAAACACCATGTGTGGGCATCAGTTCCCAGGGTGGCATCATTGCATGGAGTGAATGTGGAGCGCTGAGAACCAGGCCCTGTGCCAGGAGCTACCTAGGGGATTTAGAAGGGGCTGTGAGACTCAAATTCTTCTCTGTGGTCCTGATGTGGTTTTTCTTTTTAATGGTTTTTGATTCATATTGAAAATCACAGTTACAGAGAAAGTGAGAGCTCTTCCATTCGCTGAATCATTATCCCAGATGACTGCACCAGGCAGGGCCAGCTAAGCCTAGCAGTCACGACCTCCATCCGAGTCTCCCATGTCCATGCAAGGACCCAAACACTTGGGCCATTTGCTGCTGATTTCCCAGGGAGCTGTGTGATCCAGATCCTGATGGGACTCGATCCCCCATTCGCCATGAAGGTGTGAGCAGGACCTGAGCTGACACAAGAGCCATGATCTTGAACCTGCAACGGGATTTCTCCAAGAGCCTGTGCCAGGTGCTGTCAGAGAGAGAGCAGAGCTGATGAGACAGATGTGCAACCATTAGTCTCTCCCATCTGAGCAAGTAACCCTGGAGTGATGACAGCAGCAGGAGTGTAGGAGTGTCCCCTGGCTCTTGTCCTGAGCCTGACTCTGTCCTAAGGCTTCCAGTCTTCATTCACTGAATCTCCACAGCAGCCTAGGAAGTTGGGCCCACAGCTGGGTTAACAGGAGCTCTTCATGTTGGCAAAATATCTGCCCTGCAGTCATTTAGTCTACCAGCCTCAGACTTCACAAAGGAAGGGCAGGTGAAGGAGAAAGCACAGCGCTCAGCTCTGTCTGCTTATGTGCTGTGCTCCTCCCATCCCTAAACCAGCTGGGACTCCGAGCAAGTTCAGCTCCTGCCCAGAATCAATGCCCCTCATCACGACTCCCCATCAATCTTGCTCATTTTTCAATTCCCCAAAGTTAACAGTCTCCCTCCCACTCTGTGCTGACCCATGAGGGCACCTGGCTAAATAGATAGAAGCTGAAGAAACAGATTGTCCCAATTTGTAGCACAGTCCTTTATCCCTGGAAGGAGAATCAGGGTCTTGAATCCCAATCCAGGGTGGCAACTCTGTGCAACAGAACAATGCAGGTCGTTGGGTGGAGTGCTGTGTATGGGTACACTCCTCTCATCAGAGTGTGATGGCAGGGCAGAACATGGGAGTCCAGGGCTCCATGCAAGGGTGAGACCTAACGGAAGGTGAGGTGGGTGGAGGCGGAGACACCACAGCTTTCCTTGTGCTCCTCAAACAGTCGCTCCAGGGCCTCCATGTAGAGTCTGTGGTAGTGGTCAACCTGATCCTCAGTGGGTACACCAAGCTGGGGCACAGGGATGGGGGCTCCCACTGCAAAGGAGGAAAACACAGGTGAGTCAGAGGCTGTGCTATCCATGCTGTCTCCCCATGGTCACTCCCTGCCATGTAGTAGGCACATACCCACAGTGGTGATGGGCGTGGAAAGGGGCAGGAGACCCCAGGAGTTGGGTGAAAAGAGACTCCGGCCCCAGAAGACACAGGGCGGAAAACCAACAATCTTCTTGAAGATGACCTGGAACACATACTGCCAGGAGCCTTTGGCGAAAGTCATACTTTTGAAGGTGTCATTCTCCCCAAAGGAGTACACAGGCACCAGGGATGCCCTGCAGAAAGAAAAGTCATGCCCAACTCATGCCTATACCACACAATGGGCATTTTGGGGACTGCATATCATTCCCCAAGTCTCCTGATGTCACATCCAAGGCCTTTGGAAACTCACTATAAGGTCTACACAGAATGCAATGGAAGAATACCTCACCTGTGTTGAAAATTATTGTACAGTGGACTTTGCACATGCACCTTCTCACTCAGTGTTTGCACCTGCAGCCCTGGGGCAAGGCCGGCACCAGCCTTTTATTCAGGGAAAGGTCAAATGCAAGGGTTTGCTTTTGAGGCAGAGTCAGAAAGAGAACCCAGAATTTCTGGTCCCACAGGCCTTGTTCTAATAAGTTCTAATAAGTGCTGAGAGTGGAGGGAGCCTGGGACTTTGGTACCACACAGGCCAGACACCAGACCCTGAGGTGCTGACAGGTGCCTCCAGGTGTGGAGTGTGATGCTCAGTTCTGGACACTCCAGCATCACCTGCAGGCATTCAGAGGGGTGGACACACAGAGCACAGCCCAGCGTGGGGTCTCACAATCCACTCACCCATGCCTCAGTGCCAGGCGAACAAAGCCTTTGTGTCTCTTGAGTGCAAGGCAGTGTTTCCCTGGAGCCGTGTACAGGGATTCCTGGGCACCCCCGGTGACAATGACCACTGCCTGGCCCAGCTGGGGCTGAGACAGGACAAAGTCCAGGCTGTGACGGCTCACGGGTCGCAGTCCTGTGGCATGAGCAGGTGGGAGCAGTCAGCACTGCCCCTGGGGTTCCTAGTCTTTCTCCCAACCCTTTAGCACCCCATCCATCACCCCTCCCTTGCTCCTGCAGAGTAGACTCAGTGATCAGTACAGGTGCCCTGGTCTCGCTTCCCTCAAGAATTCTCAGGACAGGTGTCCTGGTCTCCTCTCCCTCAGGAGTTTCGAATTCCTGGAGAGGGTCACTCAGACCGGGGGCTCATCCCACCATTCACTGTGCAGCTCACCAGCAGTCATGATGTAGTCCCGGAAGATGGGAAGGTAGAAGAGGCCGGCCAGAGTGGCTAGCCAGGGCTGTATTCCTGGGAAGTGCTGGGAGAAGTTGTTGCTCTCAGAGAAGAAATTACAGAAGACTCCAGTGCACATGATTCCATGGGGGTGAGATCCCAGCACATAGTTCTGGTTGGGGGGCAGCTCTGCCGTCTTCACCAGCTTTGCACAGTTGAGCAGGAGGAGAGAAGGAAGACATAGAGAACAGGACACAGCTGGAGGTGCTGCCCTCTGTCCCTGCAGACCTAAGAGCTCAGTGTTCTGGGATGGGCTCAGGGTCCACTTCTCCACCCCTGCCCCTCTGTTCCTTGGGCAGCAGGGCTCAGGCTGCAGGACAGGAAAGAGTGAGCAGGTGCAGGGGTGGGGATGGGACAAGAGGGAAGCGGTGACTCTGGAGTGGGTAACCATCACCTTGATAGGAAAATAATCCCTCTGCAGTTTCCAGACTTCCCAGTGCCTTGTCCATACAACCCGCCTTCCTCCTGTGGGTGGAGATCCTGGTAGCCAATTGCCTCAGACAGCCTCCTCATCGCTCCCCACCTCGAACCCTGCCTGAGCTCACCTTGGCTGGGGGTATCCCGGTCCACATAGAGCCACATCAAGTAGATAACAGTCAGAGGCCAGAGCCGCGTGAAGAGAAGGAGAAAAAGTAGAATGGAGGCACAAGGGCCTGGGGTAAAGGAGGAAGAAACATAAGTCCCTCGGTACTGAGTATCTCAGCCCATTCCTCCTCATAGCACTTGGCTGGAGCATCTCCTTTGACCTTGTCCCTGTCCCTTGGTCCAGGTGTCCCAGCCACCACACAGCCATCCTCCCTGCAGTCCTCTCCCTGGGCTGTCCCCAGGCACCCCAGCCTCCCCCTCCTCTCACCTAGAAACAGGAAACTGAGCACGTATTGGAGGGCTCCCAGTGCTTCCAGCCATTCCTTGTGCGGGGTCTTAGTGGGGCAGGAGGGCGGAGTTGCTGTGGTGACTTTCATCCCAGCAGCTCCCTCTTCCTGGAGGGTCAAGCCGGGTCTCAGGTCCCTGTGTCAGTGTACAGCGTGTGGCTGAGGAGCTGCCTGGATGGAGCTCGAGTCTCCAGGCTTTTCTGAGTTTGATTTTGAACTGATCCTGGATCTGTCAGTCTGGTCGGGCCCCTGAGGGAAGCAAGCCTGAGGTGGGGGTGTGCAGGGAATTGGGCAGTACCTGGGTTGCAGCAACCATGCAGGGAGGGGACATGCAGCTGGTCAACCCGCCCACGGTCTCCAGGTGCAGGAGAGTGGCAGGGATCAACTGGAGACTGTAATGAGTAGCATGTTCCCTCTGTGGTTTCCTAAGGAGCCACTGCAGGCCCTCAGGCTCCTAGGACACAGAGAGGACTCTCTCCTCTACCTGGTCCCCTCTCTTCTGCAAAGGAGACTACTTGGGGCATGATGTCTGCCATGTGCTTAGGTTAGAACCATGTGCTCATAGGAAGTAACGCTTTATCACACCTTTACTCCTTGAGCTGCTAAAGAAATCGCTCCCCATGGAGTGTTGGCAGTGCATCCACCTGTGCCAGCTGTACCATGCTGCTCTGGGGTGGCCACCTATCTGCCAGTAAAACAGCACAGCCAGAACCCACTCCTACAGCCCAGAGCTGGACATCCGTGCTCCACAGGACCCTCACAGTCAGCAACGGGCAGCATGAAACCCCAGTGGTCAGGGACCATGCTCAGCTGGTACTCAGGGCTCCCACACCCAGCCCAGCCCTGCCTGCTGTGTCCCAGAGCAGCTGGAGGCTCTAGCTCTCCTGGAAGGAAAAGATGGGGATCAAGGATGCCCTGGGGGATCCCAGGGATCTGCCCATTCAGCTCAGGTGCACCCCGACACGGCTTCCCTTCACCCCTGTTCCAACAATGACTCACCGATTCCTTCTGAGAGTGGACCTGCTGGCTCAGGGCTCCGTGTCCAGCCTCACTCAACCAGCACAACCCCCTGACAGCCCCAGGTTTGCACAGCAGACAGGCAGCTGGGTTTTGAAGGCAAGAGCAAGGAGGGCACTGTGCAGGCAGTGCTGGGACCAGAAGTTGTTTCCTGACCCCATCCATGTAGGAGGAGGGTGAGGCTCTTACCCCTGCCCATGAGCAGAGGTGGAGGTGGAGGTGGTAGAGATGGGATCAGCAGGCAGCATGGGCAGGTGGGAGAAGCCCCAGGCCTCTGGCAGGTGCAGCCCCAGGCTGGGCCCAGGTGAGAGAAACTCCAGGCCAGAGGTCCAGCCCACCAAGTTCGTGTGGGGACAGCAGCAGAGGAGGTGGTTCCGGGAGATGCCACTGAGCTGAGGGTGCCCACCCCTGCTGTTCTGAGACTGTGCCTGGGGAATGGGAAAGCAGAGGGGCAGGGGCATTCTTCTATTTATATCCCCTGGATATAGGGTGTCTAGACTACAAGGAGACTGACTCTGACAAGTAACACAGGACAGCTCTACAGAAGGGCTGCAGGAGGCCGCCAGTTTGGAGAGGGGCCTTATACAGCTCTGAGCCCCCTCCCCTCCTGGCCCAAGCCACTGGCCATGGTCCCACCCTCTTGTTTACCCTCCTTGGTGTTCTTGCAGGTAAGGCCCAATGTAACGGGAGCTGACCACCCGAGCTCAGGAAGCTGTGACCCATGGAAGCCCTAGAAATAACCAGGTGCTGAGCAAGATGTGGGATCTGAACTTTTTGAGGGGCAAGACTGGACCTCAGGGCTCAGCATGGACTTGGGCCAGCAGGACTCCAGGCAGCCCCAGGCAGTGCGAGGGTCCACTCAGGCGCAACTGCCCAGAAGTAGCCCTTGTGGCCCAGCACCTGCAGGGGGGATGGTTTCCTGAGGGCAGTCAGACCTCCTGGGGTCTGAGCGGGAGGCTGTGATGGCAGGGCACCCAGGCCAGCCGGAGATGTTGCAGCCCCCAAGGGAGGCCCAAGGTGCTGGGGGACAGGACAGATGTGCATGATGGCCTCCTCAGCCTGTGGGCGCCCTCCCCAGGCCAGGGGGAGGCATTCCTTCAGCAAAGTCTGACACCCTAGCAGGTGCCTCAGTCACCAGCGTGATTCTTTCAGGTCATCTGTGAGCAGGAAACATCAGATGGATGCTGCTGGGTGCGTGGCTGTGACCCCCACATGTGGTACCCAGCACTGTGGGTCTGCAGGAGCCAACGCAAGCCAGCTTCCCCAGCCCAGGCCAGACTGCACAGGGGCACACCCTTTCTTTTCTTTTTTTTTTTAAAGATTTATTTTTTTTTATTATTATTTTTTTTATTGGAAAGGCGGATATACAGAGAGGAGGAGAGACAGAGAGGAAGATCTTCCATCCGATGATTCACTCCCCAAGTGGCTGCAATGGCCGATGCTATGCCAGTCCGAAGCCAGAAGCCTCTTTCGGGTCTCCCACGCGGGTGCAGGGTCCCAAAGCTTTGGGCCATCCTCCACTGCTTTTCCGGGCCACAGGCAGGGAGCTGGAAGGGAAGCGGGGCTGCCGGGATTAGAACCGGCGCCCATATGGGATCCCAGGCATGCAAGGCGAGGACTTAACCACTTGCGCCACCGTGCCGGGCCTGGGCACACCCTTTCTGCCCTGTCCAGAAACCTTGCCAAAAGACACTTTCCCCAGTCCACCTTCCAGACAGGTGGACAAGACTGTTGGAGTCTGAAGAAGCTTCCTATAGGGCACAGATGAGAGCTCATTGCCGGGAGCTCTGTGGCCAGGTTGGGAGAGCGAGCAAAGGGTGCAGGGTCTAAACTCTAGAGCAAGGCAGGGGGACCCCAGGGCTGGAAAGATACCTGCTCCTCCGTTCTCAAGCTACCTAATGCCCCCAACCCCTACCTCACACAAAGAAGAAGCATGTGGCCCAGGGGACTATGGCCTGAGGGCAGTGTCCCACGTCCTGGGCCAGTGGGGAGCTCTCTGACTTCCATAGACCTGCACACCGGCCTGAAGAACCACACAACAGCCACTGGGGGCTGAACAGGAGGAGCCACAAATGCCAGGTGGGCTAAGCTGACTCAGGGCCCCACTCACCTGACTCCCCCAGACCAGCAATCCCTGGGTCCACACTCACAGAGTTGTGGACCTGGGGCTAACCCAAGCACCACACCCCTCATGCCCAGGGGACCATATGTTCCCTCTGCATCCCTAGACAGCCTGAACCAGCTGTTCCTGAGTGCCACTGCTTCTGGGTTCCCTGGAGACACTAACAATGCCCCCTTCGCCTAAGGGGGAGAGGGAGAGTAGCCTGCTAACTGGAAGTCACCTGACCACCACGAAGTGTCAACCCACAGCTTCCCACCCTGGGTCTTAGGAAGGGGCAGATGTATGGGGCAGGGAGCTCTGGGGGGCCCCAGGGAAGAGGAGAGACTGTGCCTACTCACTCCATCTTTGCTTCTCTGGAGCTCCTTCCTAATCTCCCATTCCCTGTAATGGTTATTTCTATGGGAGTGGAGGACACAGACCAGGTTCCAGGATCCTCAAACCCTTGGGGAGGTGAGACAGGGTCCAAGGCAGGTCACGGGTGGGCCTTGTCCCTTCCCTGCCAGTCTAGCAGCCTCCAGCCAGGCCCCTGGGAAGCTCAGATGCACTCTGGGTGGACCCTGTGCAGTGGAGTTCAAGCTCCTCCCTGGACCAACCCCAGCCCCAGGAGCAGGCTCCCTACCCCACCCTGGTCCCCGACTGGAAGGATAGCTCTGGGAAGCAGGGGCATTGGGAGTTTATGTCCCCACCCTACTGGCACTGCCCTTCATGGGGGCCGCCTGGAGCCTAGGGTTGGGGCCAGGAAGCTGGAAAGGGAGAGAGAGGAGCTGAGAGCAGAGGGGTGGAGACAAAGAGGCCATGGCACAAAGCACCCCCAAAGGAGAGAGAGAAGCACCAGGTCTAGAATGGATGGAACAGCCTGGGCTGTCAGGGGTGGGGGAGGTAGAGGGCAGATATGCCATAGAGACCCCCAAATAGGACTCCAGAGGAGAAGCCCTGGACAGAAAGTTTCAACTTCTTGCTATGCAGGGGTGCTGACCCAGAGGGAGCTCCAGGTGGTAGGGAACCCAGCAAGAAGGATGAGGAAACCTGCAGATGCCCAAGGTGGGACTTGCCACACAGACCTGGCACAAGCTGTCACCTTGGAGGAGGGCACATCCTAGCATTGCAGAGGGGGCAGCTGTTGACTTAGTCCTTGTCTCCTCCCCCAGCACCTCTGTGCTTAGTCCAGGAGCCCTCACACCCCAGAAATGTCAAAGGGCGAGCCTGGGACCCAGCTGGGCATTGGGCTGCTGCTGGCCCAGGTACCCAGCATTTGCAGAGACCAACTGACTGGCAGGCACAGGCCTTTACTGAGTGGGGGGGATGTTCTAGAACTTCATTAGGAAATTAGATATCACACTAAGAGAACTGTGCACTTACCTGGGCGGCAGTTCAGTATTCCTCACCACCAAATCCTGACCAGGCCAAACAACACTGTAGGTGGCCCCCACTTTCCCCTAAAGAGATTCTTCTCTACACAGGACCAAGTAGCCTACCCAGACCAATAGCCCTGGGGTGTGGGGGGTGTACAGGCAGAACTTTCACCTGTCTGTACGCCCAGCACACCCTTCTTCCAGGAGAAATCAGTGGAGGACAGAGGAAGGCTAGAGAGGGAGCTGCACCCTTCTCCCTTCTGAGCTCTTCTCAGCTCTTCCCAACATGCATGCCTGCTTTATCATGGGTATTGCTCAGCTTGCTCAGTTCATTCACTTCTTGGCTGAGATGCCATCAGCTGACCTGTCAGGTGTATTCTGTCCATTAAACGATGCCACCTCGCTTCCTCCAGTCTGTATGTCTGAGCACTCCCTCTCAGCTGAGGCGAAGTGCTCATCTGTTCTTACGACGCCCTTCCCCATTGAGCCTGACTGCTCTGCTCACCCCCCTCTCTATCTCACACCCCGATTCTTCCTTTCACAAAGACAAGAACCAACTCCTTCCCCACCAGCAGCCATCTCTGCTGGTAACTTGGATG